ACTCTTTCCCTAACTTGGGCCTCACCCCTGTTCTACTGCTAATGAGATGTGGAACACCATCCACACTCTGCTATTGGTGAGATACGGGACCTCGCCCACACTCACCTCCCTACCAGGCACATACAAGTATCACACAGACAACAAGTATAAACTATCATATATACCATTCCTTGGGCACCCACCCATTATCATTGGACCTCGTCCTGAATATCATACTAGCATATTGTGCCTAGGGCTAACCCCCGGGTCTTCTACTCATAACTACATGGGTTGGCATTGTGGCCTTAGACCCATTCACACAAAGGGAAAACTCACATGCACTTGATGAACTTGTTGATAACCCCTCTAGCTGCTGCCTGACAACTCTCTGAACTCCTGCTCCACTAGCTCCCCGAGCTACCAATACCAATGCAACACTTAGTCTAACTGTCCCCGAAGGTCAACTAAGTCAACTATGGTCAAAGTCAAAGTCCTGGTCAAAGTCAACCTTGCAGGTCAACCCTACTCGTCGAGTCTACCTACTGACTCGCCAAGTTCATATGCTCAGAGTCCTTCCATTCGCGACTCGACTCACCGAGTCAACCATGACTCGCCGAGTTCACCGATTTCCGAGTCCTGTCCTGTCCAACTCACTGAGTCTCCACTCGACTCACTGATTCGAGTCTTAACTCGAAGGGTTCGGGGTTTCGCAACCTGACTCGCCGAGTTCCAGAACAAACTCGATGAGTCCAAGGCAAACTTCAACAGACTCGCCGAGTTGTTCATCCAACTCGTCGAGTTCCTCCTTATCTTCATACTACTCGTCGAGTCCACTCAAAGGACTCATCGAGTCTATTCAGTCCTTAATCCATTCAGTGACTTTTCAAACCATGCAGGGGCTCCAAATCATAAATCCATACTTCTAAAGTCCATTCCCCACGTAAAGTTGCAAACTTTACGTATAACTAAGGAGATCTAGGCTCAAAACACTCTAGGGCTAGGTTTTAAGACAACCATGCTTTACCTACACCCCCAAGACTGATACTTTATGACTCTCTAGGCCAGAATACACTTAGATCTAAAGTAGCAACTTCAGATCTGGGCTCTAACTCGAAATGGTTCAAAACATGGCAAAAGAGGGAAGGTAATAACTCCTTACCTTGAATTGCTCTGGAAGGCCCTCAAACTCTGGATCTACTGCAAACCCTTGAATCCCCAATGGTTCCTTCCTTCCTTCTTCCTTCAAATCACCCAAAAATGGCAAGAAAATTGAATGAGCAATAATGGGGCTTAGGGTTTCGGTTTCTTGATGAGAGAGGCTACATGGAACCCTAATGGAGAGAATAAGATGCTTAAATAGTACCCAAAGTCCCGAGTTTAGGGTTTCCCTCTTTAGAACGGACTCGCCGAGTCCATTCTCCGACTCGCCGAGTCGGACATGGAACCTTAATGGAGAGAATAAGATGCTTAAATAGTACCCAAAGTCCCGAGTTTAGGGTTTCCCTCTTCAGACCGGACTCGTCGAGTTCATTCTCCGACTCGCCGAGTCGGTCACTTACTCCTCGACCCTAATCCCGCTCGGACTCGTCGAGTTCCTCCTTGGACTCGACGAGTTGGCCCTTTAACTTAGGGTTTTCTTTCCTTTCTTGGTCTTTCTGATTATGGGTGTTACATGAACCTTCATAGTCATAGGGGTTGAATAGTATCAAGACTTAAACATGAGTCAATAGGTTATTCATCATATCTTCCACATATTTTTCCAAATCACCACAACCCAAGTGGTTTGTATGTCTTTTTTGCATGCTAGAGCAAGTTTGTAAAACTAGCTACTTGGTACATGTTCGGCCGACTGCCGAGTAGCAAGTACTCGGATTCAGTAATTCATGTATAAATATTTTTAGAGAATATATATATATATATATATATATATATATATATATATATGTCAAAATCATAAGTTGATTGAAATATATAACAAAATTAGATACGTGTGAATACATAAAAACTGAAAAATAAATAAATAAATTTAAAAAAAAAAAAAACACAATTGTCTCACTTCGTGAATAATATATATATATATATATATATATATATATATATATATATATAGTAATAATCATATATATATATATATATATATATATATATATATATATATATATATATAAAAACTGAAAAATATATATATATATATATATATATATTATAATATATATATATATATATATATATATATATATATATAGTAATAATCATATGTGTGTTAAATAATAAATCATTAAATATATTATACATATTAATCACCGAATTGGCCGAGTTTTACAAAATTTCTCGCTTTCGTAAGGGGGCGAACAGGAAGTACTCGACCGAGTAATCTGCCAACTCGACGAGTTTTACAACACTAGCTAGAGCGTGGTTTTATGGCGTATCAAGGTAATTCTTTCGTCAAATCATGGACATTTTGGTACTAAATGATTTAGATACATGGAACATTTATTATTTTCATAAATAAATATTTTTTTATTTTACATCTCTTATGTTTTATTATAATGATTTCTGTTATTGTGTAGGTAGCTATGGAGATCATATATGGTAATTACATACAGTTAGATACGATCAATAGTTTTTAAGAGAGAGAGAGAGAGAGAGAGAGAGAGAGAGAGAGAGAGATGTTGAAAGGTAATATAACATGATGCAATCCAAACGAAAGAGAATGGTATAAAATACATTGTCCATGGATTATTGTATTTTTCAAGGTAAACTAACTTCAACTTACTCTTGAAGTTCATTTATAATAGTATTATGTTTGCTAAAGTTTGTCATTTATGACTCATAAATTTAGATATGTTATACCTTCCCCGAAATATCTACTAAGTTTGCAAGACAAACTAACAACCTTATCATTTATCCTAAAGGTCTTAAAATGGAAACATCATCTTGAATTTAACCGGGAGACATAACTCCCTTATCCTAAAGGCCCTAGAGGAAACATCAACTTGAATTCAATTAGTAGACATGTCTTTTCTTGACCCCTTGTTTTCGAGTTCTAATTAATGAGGGAAATAGAAGGATACGAAGGGAAAGTGAGGGTGTTGAAGGAAAATCATGTTCACAAGTTTCATTAATGGAAGGAAAGTGAGGGAAGAGAAAGAATTTTTGAGCCATATTTTCCTTCCAAATTTTCCTCCCAAATTGGACGGATTTGAGAAGAAATTGAGGGGAATGAAAATTTTAAGTTTTATTTTCTTTTCCTCCTAACTCGGCAACACAAAATCTTAAAATTTTCCTTTTATTTCCTTCGAACTCAGGAACACGGAATAATAAATATTTTTCTTCTCCTTCCTTTCTTTTATTGAATTTACAAAAAAATAAATAAATAAATAAAAAATAAAAAAAAGGAACTCGAGAACAAGGAATTATATTTCTATACGAGTTACTTTTCACATTTAGCTTAATTACGAATTTGTATAATGTATACTATTTTGAGTTATGTAACAACCAATGTCTTCATTTATTAGGATTCTAATAATAGGGACGAATAAGGTTAATAAAATTTATATAAAACTAAAATTTTCATTAAATTGATAGTGATAAGACACTTGAAATTAAAAAATATGAAACATGAAACATAAAAATAACACCGTTATGTTCTACATATTGATGCCATTTTGCACAACCCTTGACAATAGTCTACGTATTAGAAAACTTTCTTGTTTTCATGGCGGAAAATTTCAAGAGCAATGTTTAAAACCATTTGATCATTTTCATCGTTTGGTCAATCACATGTCACTTTATTAAACAGAACTTCAAACTTTGTTACCACTTTGTTCGTGTTTTTCAATTTTACATTTTATGTAGATTTGATCTTTGCTTTGGTAGTGACTTCGATTCATTTCGTTGAGAATACATTAAGTTAGTTTGTTCCAAAAAGACGACCCACTTTTGTCAATGCAGGTTTAAGAGAATTAAGAAGTGAAGATAGTTTTTTATATTTATTTTGGTTGAAAAGTGGATTAAAATTTAAAATTTTGAATTAAAAAATGGATGTATTTTTGAATTGGATATACTCTATCATCTTCAAGTCGTTGCCAAAATTTGATTTCGAGCTCGGCATGCTGAAGATAAGTGCGGTTAGGGGTGTTCGTCTGGATGGATCGGTTTGATCCGATCCAATCACGTGAATCCAAATTAATTTCGGTTTTCGAAACGTGAATCCGAATAGTCCAAACTAAATTCAAATCCAATCTGAGCCAATCAAATTACAATTCGGTTGGATCGGTTTTTTTTACAATTCGGTTTTCAAGAAGCATGATATTTAAAAATATATATAACGTAATATTAATCAATTTTAAAATAAATTGTTTGGTGAGAATTAAAATTATGAACAACCATTAAAAAGTTTTTTATAATTCAATATTTTCGAGATAAAAAGCTATTGAAAAGTATTGAAGTATTTTATTGGATAATACTTTCTAATCTGTTTAAAAATACAATTTAGTAGATTAATAAATAACTAAAAGATGTATATTTGAAACAAATATATATAAACAAAAAAATAATAAACTCTTATTCGGTTTTTTGGATTATTCGGTTTTAATTTTATAAACCGTAATCAATCCGAAATCCAAAATAATAATTCGGTTTTACTGGAAACCGATCCAAAAATCCAAAAATCTAAACCAAATAGTTCAATCCAAATTATCCAATTGGAGAATTCAGTTTTATCCAAATAGTGAACAGCCCTAAGTGCAGTGGCTCGGAACCATCTCAGCCATGCCGAAGGGTGGTGGGAACCGCTCACCTTGTTGTAGGTCCAAAAACTATGTACACGTTATCATGTCTTGTTAACTTATTGTGATATTTCTCTTATCCATATGTAGTTGTTTTAGGACCGCAAGTAGTGCTTGTATTTAGTTGTTAAAGCCGAAGAAAATCAAACCTTACCAAGCTTCCACACAAAATATCCTGAAACATATGACGATCGAACAAAGTTTTCAAAATGCATTTGTTAACATTTTCCAGTCAACCTTTAATCAAATTTGCTTAAGTAAATATAGTTCTGATAAATACTTGAGTTATTTTTCAAATCAAACTTGTTGTATCTATAATGATATATATTTAATATTTTCAAACTATTTGAACCTCGGTCAATTTTGATTATTTTTTTCAAACCAAGCTCAAAATTATTTAAAGTTTAGACCTTAACTGTTAAACCGTTTTTAAATGTATAGGTATACACATCATACACCAATAAAGATTCAAAATGCACAGATGTAAGACTTATTTTCTAAAATTATCTATGTGGGACCCATCAACCCAAGCCTTATCAAGGAGATAAAGTGATAAACCCAAAAATGCATACAACCACAACCACAACCACCGCTGCCATCGTTATAAAGCTGCGGGCCGTCCATTTTTTCTAGGATCACTTACGGCAGTAAGCATCCCTCTCAAAACATTACGATGTTCATACTTCACTTTCCTATTATCCTTAACTTTTGTCAAAGTTTGAACGATAAGCTGACATATAGCTCCACTAGCTTTTGGCTCCAACACATGGCCCCTTTCCTCCAAAAATCTCCTTCGATCATCCGATAGCTCGATATGATCTCCATCAATCACTGTCAAGTTCTCATACTTTACCACATTCGGTATCAACTGCATTACGTACAAAACAAATTAACTTTTTAATCTTATATTATACATACAAATTACAATAGTGTGTAACTATGATTAAAAGACACGTGAGAGAAAATTGGGTAAGACCTTGTGGTAGACACGTGGCGATTGAACCGCAGTGGACGGGTCCATGCCTAAGATAAAACCGTTTATGAAAACTTGAGCAACCGCTGGAATTATTTCCATTCCACCACTCCCCCCAATCACCCCGACTAATTGATCATCCTGTAAAACCAATGTTTTTAAGATAATGACAAATTACGTTATTGCCCTTCCTTGAAGTGAGTGAACTTTACCTTGAGGATGATAATTGGAGTCATTGAGGATAACGGACGTTTATTTGGTTCTATAAAATTAAAAGGTGAAGGAGGAAGGGAGTCTGGCGATATTTCAGTAGGAACTGAAAAGTCGCCCATTTCATTGTTTAACACAATCCCCGTGGAACTAGAGAGAACCCCACCTCCAAATGGGTAATTCACAGTTGTTGTCATTGATATTGCGTTTCTATCAGCATCCACTATGCAAAAATGACTTGTTCCATGGTCTAGTAGTTGACTCCACCTTGAAAAAGTTGTCTGATTATATGAGATTGTTTTGTATTTCGTTTTTTTTTTTTTTTGGTAGTGGTAGAATTTTAGGAAGAAATGAAAGTGAAATGTTGTAGTAAAGTAAGAAACAAATCAATGAAAGTGGTTTGTTATTTTTTGCATTTAACGTACTAACTTTTAAGGTTAAATAAAAATAAGAGGGAGCTTACTTGGGCATGTAATATGTGGGTGGAAAAGTGGTGTTGTCGAAAATACGTTTTTGAATGCTTTTCGCGAATGCGGGTGAAAGCATTTTGGCTACAGTTTTACTTATATCGACAAAATTTGGGTCACCCAAATCCATACGAATAGCAAACATGTGCTTCAATGATTCAATAAGACGATGTAAACCCAACGACCCTTTCGCAGCATTTGAGTTCTCATAGCTTTGTAAGATATTTAAAACCTGTATTTTCATCAATGTTGTTATAGAAAATGTCTGTACTTTTAACATTTATCAATTTACATACTTACAGAGTCTTTTTTTTGTAGCGATTAATCCATTATATTTTTGTGAACGTTTAAAAAAATTAATTTTCTCAGTTACTAGATTTTAAAAAAAATGTAGTGATTAAATCAATAATGTGTTTTAGAAAACACTAAGCAACCTACCAAAGTTATCCCCAACGTACCACTAGATGGGGCTGGCATCCCTAAAACAGTGTAACCCATAGTATCTGCTTCAAGCGCATCTGTAACCTCAACTTGATAATTCCTCAAATCTTCCATTGTCAAAATCCCACCGACATCTTGAACATCCTTAACCAACTTCTCCCCTATCACACCACCATAAAACGCTTCCGGTCCTTCATTTGCTATGATTTCTAAAGTCAAACCAAGCTTAGGGTTATAGCAAATGTCTCCGGCTTCTAGAACCTTCCCTTTTGGTGCATATACTTGTTGCAAGCCGGGGTCTTTCTTTATTGTAGAAGCAAAGCTTGAAATGCTATTGGCAAGATAAGGTGCAACCAAGAATCCATCTTTTGCGAGTTTGATGGCCGGATTAAATAATGTCTTCCATGGTAAACGGCCGTATTTTGACCAAGCTGTATAAAGACCGGCTATCTCTCCGGGAACACCCATTGATAATGCTCCGAAATATTTGGAGTTTAGATCTTTCTCGTACATGTTCTGTGTTATAACAACTATATTAGTTTTTCTAAAAGGAATCGAAAAGACAAGATATTTTATTGAAGGAAATATTTTTCTTTCTTTTAAGTAGATGAATAATATTTGAGAAAATGATATATCGTGGGAAACAAAGAAGGGTAGAATTACATAAGAGCAATTTTGCAAGAAAATAAGGATTGAAAGGAAAAGATAAATACGACCACTTATGTTACTTTTATTCTAGCAAGTTTTCATAACATAAAGTACCGTTAGAATTTTTTTTTTAATGTTTAATTAAATATTATAATTGTTAAATTTTATAAAAAGGTAAACTAAAAAATGAATAATTTTATAATAAAAATAATAATAATATGTTTTATGACATCATATTTTAAAAAAATGAATTTCAAAGAAATCATCTTTTTTTGTGTTAAGGTTGTACGATGTTGTTGGTAGGGTTGTAAACGAACTGAACATTCCGAACTATTTATGAAACGTTCGGCGTAAAGTTTGTTTATATTCGTTTATTTAATAAAGGAATGAACATGAATACAAATTTTTATTCGTTAAACATGAACAATAGTCTCGTTCGTTCAATTATGTTCGTAAACGTTTGTTTATGTTCATTTATTTATGTTTATTTTATATTTATATATGTTCAGTTATGTTTGATTACATTATTATATTATATTTTCGGTTTATGTTCAGTTGTATTTATTTACATACGCTTGTTTATATTTGTTTAGCATGTTCACGAATATAAACGAACGAAAATGAATAATGTAATTTTTTAAACGAACGAACATAAACAAGAAAATTCATTCATTTATTTGTTCGTGTTTGTATATTTGTTTGGTTAACTTAAACGAACAAACATGAATATCCGTGTTTGTTTAATTCATTTATAGTCCTAGCAGTTAGATTTCTTTTTTGACATAGTTTTCTAAAATGTTTAAATACATGTTTTCAAAGAAAATTTTGGAATTTCTAAAATTAGATATCATTTCATTTGAAATAACGGAAAGTTAAAAGAATTTCTTTCAGTAATGAGTTGCAACTTCTAATGACGTGACAAAACAAAACTCGTATATCAAGCACTACAAAATAGATTATTAGTTAGTTTAAAAGTCATAATAATATATTTTGAACATATATCTATATAGGACACCTATTTCACAATTATTGTATATGCTTTTTCTAGAATCGCAATGAAGCTACACACCCAACACGTTTTCTATCTTATATCCATGTGATACTTTGTTTTTTAGAATTGCACAATAATAATATTAAATCCAGCAAAACACGTGATTACTAGTTTATGGTTAACACAAATATATTCTTTATTTGGATTTTGGACACACTACTTTGTGAGTGTACATCGTGCATATACACTTATGGTAATTTAGATTATTATTTATGCACAAAGTACAACCAGCAATGCATATGTAGGAATATACGAACCTCTGAAGCAGCCAAAGGGGCAGTTTCCCTGAAATCAAATGCCAGCGTTTGTGATGTCTCCGCCGATCGGACAACCATGAAGCCACCACCTCCGATACCACTAGCCATCGGATTCACAACACCAACACACAGAGCAACAGCCACCGATGCATCAACCGCATGGCCGCCGGCTCGAAGGACGGATGCTCCGATCTCAGAGCACCGAGCATCGTCGGCGGCAACCACTGCTCCCATTGACTCAACTGTATCGCTGTTTTGTATCCTCCTTTTCCCGCCATCTAACAAGCTAGAACTTGAGCTAGAGCTGCCTCCTAATGTAAGGATGATAACTGAAATACAGCAAACAAATTGGGGCAAATCCATGGATGCTTCAGCTATTGGATATGTTCAAACTTCGTAAAACGTTATCTAACCAATTCCGTTATCATTTATCGAATCATTTGATCACATAATCTTCTGTATTGACTTTAATAATCACGGAAAAGTTTCACTCAAATGTGTTGAATTTACAACTAAAGCTACCATTCGTAACAATATACTCACGATTAAGGCGATCTCATAGAAATAAACGAAACAGAATCGAAACATATGACGATTCGAGTTGCAACAAGATGAAGGTTTGAAATCAAGGAAAAGGAATGACTTACATATTACAGCGATGATTGACATGATAATGATATACCGAAGAGGCGTTCTCCATTTTTTTCTGTTATTATTGTAATATTCTTCTTCTTCTTGAGACAAAAATGGAGCTTTCGTGCTCTGTTCGGCAATCATCTCTGACTCGCACACAAGACGGCAAGACTATGGGCCAGGACTGACGAGTGGTGCCTGCCTTATTTATTTTATAGAAAAGCAATTTAGATATAAAATATGTTTTGGGAAATTGGAGCTCCATAAACCTTGGGAATTTTATATGTACTCTTCTACTTATCTACTAAGTTACCCAAAAACGACCTTTTAGGATTGACTTTCCTTAAACGAGTTTCCTTCAAATAATTAAGCTGTTGTTTTTTGTTTTTTTTTAACCTAACGAGTCTATAATTGACATTGATAATATTTAGAGTAAATTACACGAATAGTATTTTGTTAGTGTAGGTGTCAAAATATATATTCCGTCCTTATTTTAGAAAATTAATTCGGACCGTTTTTTGGTACATTTCATCTGCTCTTGACATAAAAAAAAACGTTTTGCCCTTATTTATTTAATTTTTGATTTATTTATTAATTATTAATTCATTAAAAGAAATTGTTTATTAAATATTTATCTTTACCTACCTACTGTGAACTCAAATACCATATGTTAATAAACTTCTAATTTAGAATAACATGTGGTCCTTTGTTATAGAGACAAGAATTGTCTTTGTAATTGATTTCTATAGTTGCATATAGGGGTGAGCATTTGGACCGGACCGGATCGGATCGGCTCTTGGACCGGACCGGTTAGGGAGAAAATCGTGGACCATGGACCGGATCGGATGCATCGTGTCCGTGTCCATGTCCGTGTCCGGGTCCGGGTCCGGGTTTTTCGGTTTTTGAACACGTTTGGACCGGTACCACTTTAGTTGCATAAAGTATAAGTAATCTACATTGATGTAAAATATTATAACTTGCAAACTTAATTTTCCAAATAAAAACAACTAACATATATTTCAAGTTCACCAACAAAAGTTAACAATTTAAACACAAGCATACAAAAATAATACCATAGCAACAAAAAACATAGTTTAAAGTTTAAACTTTAAAAGCAATCAAAACAACAAACTTCATAAACTCGTAATCTAATCTTCCATTGGCTTCTTCCCCTTATCATTGTCATCAATATGTAATATATTTAAAGCTTGTGCAATCTCTACATAAACACAAATGAAAATGTTGTTAGTATTTAATAAAAAGTAATATTGTATAAAAAAAGAACAAAGCTTGTAATTTTTTTTTACCCAAAGCTATATCATCATCGTTCAAGATGTCATCAACGTTGTCAATTATCGGATTTGTAGACTTTCTCACCCAATCTTGGGTGCATAACAAAGCTTCAACTATCAACGTCGATAAACTAGTCCGATACTCACTTACAACTCTACCACATGTGCTAAACGCGGACTCGGACACTACACTTGAGATTTGTATCGCCAATATATCTAACAACAAAGAATTAAATTGTAATAACATTAATTTATAAATAAATTATGAAAGTATAAAAAAAAGTAATCACCTTTCGCCATCCGAGCAATTGTTGGGAACCTAATTGCGTTTACTCTCCACCACCCGAGAATTGAGAAATCTTTTTTATAATTAACTATATTCTCTTTCAAATAAGTTCGTAACTCGTTATCCGTTGGATCCGAGTTGCTACCTCCCGTACAAAGAAAATCACCGAAAAAATCATTATCATCATCAACATCAATGGCTATTTGACTCGCTTCTTGTTGAGATGATCCACCGCTGTCAAATCGTTCCAAGTAGGTCATAAATAAATTTTCCATCCTATTCTCAACCTCTCGGACCATTTGACGTGCTTTTATGTCTATGCTCGCGGGGGTCAATGATGGTTCCATGTACCCGATCATTTTTTTAAAAGCATGTAACAAAAAAGGTGATTTGGTGGTAGGATCAAGTAAAACTGCAAAGTACATAAAATCATTCATCTTGTTGTATGCACCCCAATACTTTTCGTATTTCGTCCTCATATCTTTTACCATATCGAGAAACATTGGTTTGGTTGACCACTTTCTTAGATGTATGTCCACATCTAAGACTTCCCTGATAAAAAGATTTACCAAAGGTTTTGATGTAGCCGAAACAAGCTCTGTTTTTGTTTTGAATTTTTCAAAGAATTTCACCATTTCGGTTACAACTTCAAAGTCATAATTTTCCGGTACTCTACCGAGATCCCTTTCATATGATTTATTTGTCAAAGATACATAAACAAACAAAATTATAGTCTAAACAAAATCTTAATAATTTTGCTGAACAGATGATATATAACTTAAAAATAAATATTACCTCTTATGCCAAATTCCGTAAATGCCTCTCGTAACTCATATGCGGACTTCAATAACTTGAAAGTCGAGTTCCATCGGGTAGGAGTGTCACCACATAGAAACTTCTTCGTTTGTAAGCCACAATCTTTCATCGCCTTCTTGAACTTGTTTATTCTTTGTGGTGACAATCTAATGTACCGTACCGCCTTTTGGATACACTCAACATGATAGTTTTGGTATTTTAGTCCATCATTTACGATAAGGTTTAAAATGTGAGTCATACACCTAACTTGGAAATGCTTTCCACCCTCGTAAAGATTGGGCAACTTTTTGACCAAAAAGTCCATTGCCTTGTCGTTTGTAGCGGCGTTGTCCAAGGTAATGGTCATGACATTTTTCATTCCCCATCCACGAATACAATCGAGTAATTCTCGGCCCATATCCTCTCCCTTATGGCTATCTATCTCCCTAAAGTTTATAATTCTCTTGTGCATCATCCAATTCTCATCTATGAAGTGAGTCGTGACCACCATGTAAGTAGTCCTTTGACAAGAAGACGTCCAAGTGTCCGTTGTCAAATGTATAGCGGTCTTTGGGTTACTTAAAAATTGAAGCATTTTGGTTCTTTCTTCTATGTAAAATTTGGAAACATTTCGGGATATTGTATGTCTAGATGGCAACATAACCTTAGCATTAAGTGCATTGGTGTATTCCACAAAAGCCTCGTTTTCAACGAACTTGAAAGGTAATTCGCCTACCACAAAAAGGTTAAGTAATGCTTTTTTGATCCTTGCATCATCGTGTTTCCATGTTTTAACACTAGTATCTCCATTTGACTCCTTTTTTAGATTCAATTTGGTTTGAGTTGGATCTTGTAGCTTATTCGGGTTTTTTTGACACCGATCTACGTGTTTGAGTAAACTAGAAGTCCCATTCCTTTCCACATCCGCCTTTAGTAGCCTTTCACACCATTGACATTTTCCATATCTTCTTTCCATACCATCATCTTCTTTTATCATAACTTTATCAAATGAGTCCCAACAAGAGGATGTTTCTTTGCCACTTGTTTGTTTTTTTTTTGTGACTTGTTTTCGTTTTGCTATTTGTTCTTTTTCGTTTGTTAACATTTGATTGATCATCTTTTGCCGAATCATCAACTAAATTGATTTGTGGTGTATCCTCAATAAATTCCTCTTCATCAACATTCGTATCCTACATTACATATAGTCGCAACAAAAATGTTTTCACAATTAATCAACAAAATATAGCAACATACTTTATAACTTTCAACAAATATTAACAAAATTCAACCAAAAAACATACCCTTACTTTACATACAATCACAATAATTTTTTTTTACCAACAAATAACCTAAATATAACAACATACTTTATGACATTCAATAAAATTTAACAAAAATCAACAAAAAATCATAACCCTAGTTTACATGCAATCAAAACAAAAATGTTTTCATAATTAATCAACAAAATATAACGACATACTTTATAACTTTCAACAAATATTAACAAAATTCAACCAAAAAACATACCCTTACTTTACATACAATCACAATAAGTTTTTTTTACCAACAAATAACCTAAATATAACAACATACTTTATGACATTCAATAAAATTTAACAAAAATCAACAAAAAAATCATAACCCTAGTTTACATGCAATCAAAACACAAACTTTTCACAATTAATCAACAAAATATAGCAACATACTTTATAACTTTCAACAAATATTAACAAAATTCAACCAAAAAACATACCCTTACTTTACATACAATCACAATAAGTTTTTTTTTACCAACAAATAACCTAAATATAACAACATACTTTATGACATTCAATAAAATTTAACAAAAATCAACAAAAAATCATAACCCTAGTTTACATGCAATCAAAACACAAACTTTTCACAATTAATCAACAAAATATAGCAACATACTTTATAACTTTCAACAAATATTAACAAAATTCAACCAAAAAACATACCCTTACTTTACATACAATCACAATAAGTTTTTTTTACCAACAAATAACCTAAATATAACAACATACTTTATGACATTCAATAAAAATTAACAAAAATCAACAAAAATCATAACCCTAGTTTACATGCAATCAAAACAAAAATGTTTTCACAATTAATCAACAAAATATAACGATATACTTTATAACTTTCAACAAATATTAACAAAATTCAACCAAAAAACATACCCTTACTTTACATACAATCACAATAAGTTTTTTTTACCAACAAATAACCTAAATATAACAACATACTTTATGACATTCAATAAAATTTAACAAAAATCAACAAAAAAATCATAACCCTAGTTTACATGCAATCAAAACACAAACTTTTTCACAATTAATCAACAAAATATAGCAACATACTTTATAACTTTCAACAAATATTGACAAAATTCAACCAAAAAACATACCCTTACTTTACATACAATCACAATAAGTTTTTTTTTACCAACAAATAACCTAAATATAACAACATACTTTATGACATTCAATAAAAATTAACAAAAATTCATAACCCTAGTTTACATGCAATCAAAACACAAACTTTTTCACAATTAATCAACAAAATGTAGCAACATTCTTTATAATTTTCAACAAATATTAACAAAATTCAACCAAAAAACATAAGCTTAGTTTACATATAATAACAATAATTTTGTTTTGACAAGTATTCAACTAAATATAACAATATTGTTTGTTATTTCAACAAAATTTAACAAAAAAAGAACCATAAATCGTAACCCTTACTTGAATTTCATCATCATCAAGTGCAATCCAATTAGCGATCCCGGTTTTTGATTCCATTAATTGTGAATCGAGACTTGAGTGAATCGAGACTTGAGAGAAACGACACTTGAGAGTTGAGACTTGAGAGAAACGAATTGGCGAATTGCTACTTGGCTACTTGCGAATTGAGGATACAGATTTCAGATTTCAGATTTCGTAACCCCTACTTGGCTGCTTGGCATCGACTAGACGACTATTGCTTGCTGCTTGCGATGCGATTCAGATTTCTAAAAAGACAAGGGCCGATTTGGGATTTGAGATGATCGACATCGAATCAGTTTTTTTTTGGTTTGGAAATTATCGGCTATTACCGTATTACGTGTTATGGGAAAGGGAACGTCGCTTTTGCTATGGTATAATAAGGCCGATAGTTTTTTTTTTTTTTTTTTTTTACCATGTCCAACCGGTCCCGGACCCGATAAAAACCGGACCAGACCGGATACAAAACTTAGAACCGAGAACCGGCCCGGAGGTCCAAAAAAACGGTCCGGTCCGGGTCACCGGTCCAAATGCTCACCCCTAGTTGCATATAGCTAGTGGTTCATTGTGTTTCAGTGGTATGGTTATTGTTATGTCTCTTTTTATTGTTCATCATGTGATCAGGGGGTTTACCGTTGCAGAAAATACCTTCAAGTTTTGGCAAACATCCGGAAGGGAAAACATTTGGAACGGTTTTCATCCGATCCGATCCTACCAATCAATGAAATTTGCCAACTTTTAATCCAATTGTAATTATATTTACCCATTTATGGGTTGACGTGGTCGCCTTACTCAATGGTCAATCGAGAATAGTTTTATTTTTTTTACTATTTATGAGCCGTAAATGATCAACAATCTTAAAATTGTTTTTCTCCTTGGACGTTTTACCCTATAATTTGAGATTTGTTATTATATTAATTTATTCCTTTAACAATTCAAGCTCAAAAATAAAGGTGACCTTTTTCCCTATTTGTTCTTATTTTAGTGTTCAAGCCTTTTTCCTTGAGAGCTTGAGAAATTACGGTTTTTAATTGAGCTTCGAAAGTTGAATATTTATCACTTACTTTTTTAAGCTATTTAACCATGATATATGAAAAAGTGTTTTATATATGAACAATTACCTTTTCATGTTATTTTTCGGGATCTTAGGTTCTCGGTCCTGATCTTATGATATCAATATTGACAATTTTGGTTCTTATATTGACAATATAGTTAGAAAAAAATTTGTTTTAGTGGAAATTCAAAAATGGGATAAACATGAGGACCATTTCTGTAATTTAGTCTGTAATCTATAAAATAAAATGGTAAAATCCAATAAAACGAAACCGGCCACAAACCAATTATTTTATGTTGAGTAGCGTATTAGAGTAGAAGTTGAAATTTCAACTTTAGGAAAAGGTAGGCATACTTATATTCATGGGGTCCATTATATAATCTTTATTTTGTCAATTGTCACTTATTTCTTTTTAGAGAGATAACCAATAGAATAAATTACAGATTTGGGCACTCTGTTTTGCTTCAATGTGCATTTTTGTCCAATTTTTGAAAAATGGATATGGCTAGTCCATGTGGTTTCTAAATCTTGCATTGGAGGTCCCAATGTATGTTAATAGAGCTATGCTAAATGGTTGTATATAAATCTACTATACATAAAAGAGTTAATTGAATCCTCATTTTTTACGTGAAAGATCAGATCAAACTACAACTAAAAGCATACTATAAACCTTCAAAATACTAGATATCCTCTAATATGACAACAAAATTTTGTTTATAATATGGAAGATTAGACAAAACTGCAACCACCTAGCATACTACAAACCTATAAAACTAAGACCTCCGCCAAACCTAAAGTTATGATGTCACTTAGTTGGGAAAATGGTCACAAAGACCTAAACAACCCTCCCAATGAAAAATATATATAAAAAAAAAATCAAACAATAAAATACGTAAAAATTTTAAAATCAAAGAAAAACAATGAGATTTCGGAGAGAAAACATCCGATACATGATAAATTATTATAATCGCATAGACTAATCTCTCAAGTCTCCCTAAATAAAAACTGTACATTCACTCTCAAAGTTTTGACTAACATTTTCTACACTCAAAACTGAGAAGAAAAAAATGGATGTAAGGCCTTGTTTTTCGTGTTATTAACTTTTTTAAAAAGGGTTTAGCAATACATGGTGATTATACAATTAGAATTGTAAGTGAAATAAATAAATAAAAAGAATAAATAAATGTTAAAAATCATGGTTAGTTAGGGGGGACAAGAAGGGCATCTGCACATAGCCTAATTTTTTTGGGCCCAGTTTTTTTTTACTATATTATGTAATCAAATGTTGGATGCCAAATGCTAAGCAATAGTCCAGACATCCAGACCCACTCGTACACTCTAGCTAATCGAGTGTTCAACCCACCACGTAAAGACAGAAGGCAGCAATGTGCAACGAGCCAGCTACGGTATAATTTTTGATTTTTCAGTCGACCATTTAGAAATCAGAAGGCAGCGGCGGCGTTGGACATTGGACAACTACATAAGGTAAAAGTTTTTGTGTTTTCTTTTTGTTCCACTTTCCAGATTATGTTAGATTTGTAACACCCAATCTAGGTATGAATTTATGTTTTGTATGTTAATATTAAAGAGTTTGGCTTGGTGTATTAGCCCAATCTACGATTTGGTAATACCCTGTCACCACGACATGGTGTCCATTATGACCACGACATGGTACCATTATGGGCTCCAAACCTTAGACCTTGGATCTTGAGCCATATTTAAAGAATGATGGGGCTAGGGTTTCCCCTAACCCCAACTTCCATTTCTTCTAGAAAGAACCTCCCAAAACCGTATGTAACACTCAATATCACAATAAATTTGGAATTTTCAAAATCAACATTGTTTATAAAAAATAGTAATTGTTTCAAAAGCATTATTTCAAATCAGAGTTTTCCCAAGACCCAAAAACATACAACATAAAGTTGTCTTTACCTTTCTACGATCCTTTGAAGTACCTGAAACGATAAAGTAAAAACTATAAGCCAAACCTTAGTGAGTTCCCCCAAAGTACCAGCACACATACACATACACACATATCGGGTCCATAGCTAGATAAACTGGATTACCCCTGAGCCCTCAGTATGAATCTGGCATGCCAATCAGGCCCTCAGTTCATATCTGGAATGCTCTCGGGTTTGTTGGCTACCGCACAACGCAGTACAATCTCAACCCAACACAATATGTCGACATATGTAACAAATAAGCATAAACACAGAACCAGCAGATACAGATAATCATATTGATCAAGTAATCATCCATAAAATA